AATAATTCTTCCTTTCTTCCTAACCCACCCACCTAAGCCGTGGTTTAGTCAGCAGGCAGGCGCTGCCTTTGGAGGGAAGCGCGCTACAGGTGACGGCTCATTTTTGTCACGGATTTTTACAAATAGAACTGTTCTGCTCAGTGGCAAGTATGTAAAAAAATCTCCCAAGGCCCAAAATCCCAAGGGACTGCCGGTTTTCAAAGCTGCTGCCGCCTGCCGTCGCTCTCCCGGAGCAGCCTCCGTCCACGGCTGCCCCCGAGGAGCGCGGCCGGGATCCCTTCTGCTGAGTGCCGCAGAGCGGTGCCCCTTTTCCAGACTCATTCCCACGGAGAGGCGACGGAGGCAGCAGCCGTTCTGTTCTCCTTGGCACGTTTGTCAGCATGTGATGGTGATTATGAAGATTAACAGCAAAATAACCGCGCGTTTCAATTTCGCTGATCGATGAGTTGAAAAGCCTCCTGACACTAAGTGCAGCAATCCTTAGAGAATCTTTTTTTTAAATTACATCAGTTATAAGTCAAAGTAAATTAACAGATTCCTTTTAAGTACGCGGAACATCTGCTGTCTACTGAAGAAGCCCGCGAGCTGTGTTTGGGGAACATGTGCCGTGCTGTCGGTATACGGCGCAGGGATGTATTCCTAGGTCTGAGCTCTGCCAGCAGCAGCAATGACACTGGGCGCAGGCTGGGACTGGTTAACTGGGAGGAGGTGTCCCTGAATGGGTTAACTGGGAGGCAATGTGCCTGAACTGGACCACAGGAGAGGAGCCTATTTTCTCTGGAGATGTTCAAGACCCGCCTGGACAAGGTCCTGTGCAGCCTGCTACGGGTGACCCTGCTTTGGCAGGGGGTTGGACTGGGTGATCCACAGAGGTCCCTTCCAACCCCTGCCATTCTGTGATTCTGTGATTCTGAGATTCTGTGAGCCAGGCGTGGACGTGCCCCACGGAGGGACCGGGCTGCCTACCTGGATGTGTGCGTCGACAAAGTGCTCCGTCTGCCCGCGGAACACCCACTCTTTGGTGGTGATCTCCCGCTGCTCGGGCACTGCCCACGTCGGACCGACCCCTTCGCAGTGGTACCAGACCAGCAGCATCCCGTTCACCTCGCACGACGGCCAGGTCCGGACCCTCGCAAAATCCGGCACTGCGGAGGACAGGAAGGATTTGGTTAAAAGCGGCGTGTCCAAGGCTGACCCTGGCGCTGAGGGTCACCTCGTCCTGAACCACAGCTCAGAGATCATCTTCATGGGCAATATTCAGCTGGCACAGACTCTCTGGTGATGCCTTTCCAGCTTTCAGGCTGCTGAAGAAGTTTTGAAGTTCGTAGAAGAGAGTTTGCTTAAATCAGTTTTATTTCAGTTGGGTGTCTGGCAGAAGCCTTTCAGGGAAGCAGCATGGCCGGCTGCTCTGCAACCTCTTCACTGCTCTTAAAACTGTTCCCATGAGTAAATGGCTTCTCCATCAATGGAGCCTCCCCATGTTCCTGTGAGCTAAATGATGATGCTTTTAGTTATAGATGTGCAGAGAGTAGAAGCCATCTCTACCACTCGAGTTCAAGTCATGCTCTGTTGCCACACTGCAGTATCATGTGCTGCTTTAAGAATATATCCGCACTCTTGCCAGTGAGATGAATTTAGGCGTTTGTATTTACCCAATTGTCAGAAAATGCAGCTTCTACCGGACTGGAAGGATTTTGCCTTCATTACTTGTTTTTCTAATTTGCAAACAAGCACAGAGGATAGCGCGTCCTTATTACCCAGCCTTGTACAGCCGTGTGGAAGGTGAAACAATAGGAGAAATTACATTTTCAGTCAATGAATATCAGAGGGGGCAGGAGGACACCTGTGCTGCGATTTCTGATTGAAAAAATCTGGTGCTTTGGGTGTGATGCAGCTCATTAAATTTTAGAGAGGGCTTCATCAGCCCCCACGCAGACATAGAATCGTAGAAGCATTTAGGTTGGAAAAGACCTTTAAGATCATGAAGTCCAACAATTAACCTAACGCTGCCAAGTCCACCACTAAACCGTGTCCCTAAGCGCCACACTCACGTGGCTTTTAAACACCTCCAGGGATGGGGACTGCCCACCCCCCGCCTCACTCCCCCCTCCTGTCAGGGAGCTGCAGAGAGCGATGAGGTCGCCCCTTCAGCCTCCTCTTCTCCAGACTGAGCAGCCCCAGCTCCCTCAGCCGCTCCCCATAGGACTTGTTCTCCAGACCCTTCACCAGATCCATCTAGCACCAGGTTGGGTTCTGTGGCTCTCCTGCCCGGCTGCCCGTCCCCCGCAAGCCCAACGCCAGAGGAGCTGCCCATCCGAGCTCTCCAAAACACTTCTCCATCAAAGTGACCTGCATGAGTGCAGATGGCTTTTAAATCTGTTTAAATCAACCTGACCCATTTGGGCTGTATGGGCCCTGCCTGCAGTTTTGTGCTTTTAGTTACTATGGGTAACGACGACTCCGAACACAGCCATTTCAGATGGAACAAGGCATCTTGGCAAGCATTTCCCTATGTCCAGAATATTCATTCAAATTTTGTGATGAAACACATCGCTGCTTATTACTTGGATCCAAATTTTCATTTGAATGCAGCTCCTGAGTGAGTATGGATGGGAAAAAAAATCCAGTATTAATCTTTTTTCTGAAAAAAAAAACCCACAAAAAAAAAAAAGAAATTGCTGTTTGGTGAGATCTATAAATTGTTTATCTTAATACATATGGATGGAATATTTCTTCCACTTTGGGAAAAATAGTCTGTTTAGTAGAAAGACTGAGTTTTGCTTCTAATCAGTGTTTTTGTTGCTATCTCTATCAATCCCAACCAGAGAAAGTTGAAGTCGGGGAGAATAACTCAGAAGCACAAGCCAAAGCAAAACTCAAGTAAGTCTGTCTGCTGGTTTCAGCCACATTTAGCATTGGTGATTGAAACTAATTAGTGCAACCAGATCAGGTAATTGTTACATGTGAACTTTAAGTAAGATCCTCTTCCTACACAGTCAGCGCAAACCACGTCTAGATGGTAGGTGTATGGAAAGAGCTTTCCTGGATGCTAACCAAAAGTTCCCTTCGAGCCTTAAAAGGAGAAAAAATGGCCATGGAGAGATTATTCTGTCATGCTGATGCGACAGATGTAAGCACTGACGTGGTACGAGCTATCCCCACAGGGTACAGAAGCAGTCCTGAAACCCAGCAGCTCCTCGGGATCCATCGCTGCTGGTGCGATGGATGACTCAGAGTTGAAAAGCTTCTTTTATACCCTGCTTGCTGAACACAGGAGTTGTAGGACTATCAAAAGCAAGAAGCGTGGTTGTTTAATGAGACTGAAGTCCCAGTTATCATCTAATGTAGGAAAGGGCACTGGAACGTCATGCCCCAACGTGGACAACCCAGGAGGAGAGGTAGGGCCCTGCATGAAAGAGGGGAGTAGGATGGAGGGTCAATTACTATAAGGACCACTTTTCCTTAATGAAGCAGCTTTTCAGGAGAACATGCAGGGCGCTGCCATTGCTGCAGGTGCTTGCTGTGGCTCTGGGGGAAACCTCACCTTTCTCAGCGTATGGGATGCTGGTGCATTTTCCATCTTCTCCTCGAAACCGCCAGCCGTGAAAGGGGCATTCGATGCAACCGCCCACGACGCGCCCGCCGGCGGCGAGGTCCGCCCCGAGGTGAGGGCAGTAAGCGTCGACCACGTAGGCCTGGCCGTCCTGGGTGCGAAACGCAGCGAGATGTTCTCCTGCAGAAGGATGAGGTTATGAGGGTGTGAGAACATCACCCCCACGTGAGGGGGTCAGGCGAGACGTGCGTGGCTCGGCCCCTTCTGAACGGGCAGCACCGACGGGCGCTTCTACTCAATGCTGCAGACGCCTGCCTATGCAAAGACATGCAGAAACATCCTGCTAAACATTAATATCG